CTTGTCCGTGTACTCCGTTCCCCATTTGTGCTACACTCAGGAGCAGACAGGTTGACCTCTCTTTCTTTTGATGTCTAAACTTTATGTTTGTTTTGGAACTACATCTCTTTCCAAAATTACACAAGCAAATAGAAAATCAAAGTCACCTAAAAGTACTGCACCGGTATAATGGTAGCAGGGAAGGGAGAACAAGGGTTTAAAAATGTTAAAACTTCTTTCATGTAACACTGACATACATTAAGTGAAAGTTGTAAGACATCACTAAATTAATAGTCAGCCACAGATTTTATTTCAACAACAACAGAGTTTTAGAACATAAAGGATATTGTGCTATTATCAAAGATACAGTCAGAATATACATGAATTTTTAGGGTATTTAATGTAGTCAAACATTCAAAACCTGTTGTAAAGAAGAATAATTTAATATCTTTAAAATGGTTGAAAAAGAAATAATTTTAATTTACTATCTGCATAGGGACTAAAACACAAACAGTACCACAATAGGTTTTTGCTGCATATTGACCTCAAGGGTAAAGTAGTTGGTCTCATCAATAACAGGAATGAAAAAGTGTAGAATGGTGTCTAGAATGTGCAACACTTTCCAGTGGTTTGTATTTCATTGTCTCCCTCTAACTCTGCATATGGGTCTATGACTACTTCAAGAGAGACCACATATGAGTAATCATAAATAGCAGTTCAGAATAAAATATACTATTCTGCAAAGGCTAAGCAAAAATGGGATCCATGGGATTCAGGCAATAGTTAGGGCTAGAGCTGACTTTTTACAAGAGACTAAATTCTGTACCTGAGCTGAAGCCCTGCGCTCTCTGAAACACCAGAAAATCTCTGGCCAAACACTGGTGTGACTCATGACTTACGGTTCTCATGGTCAGTTTTAGATAGCAACAGGGGAAGGCCAGGAGAAAAAGAAATAACAAATTATTCAACTAGTTCTCAAATGTACTTATAAATGGAATTTACTTTCATGAAATTCAATGTTTTATTTCATATTACAGTTTGCAACTATTAAATATGAGGCAGTTGCCGTGTGAGTTGTTCCAGTACACACAGCTGCATTAACAGCTAACTACAAATACATTTTACACTAGTGGGTACTTTCAAGTACCAAATGCCTCTTCAGGAAGTTTTGCCAACAACTTTTTTTCATGTATTTACGCAGTTTCAGCAAACTCTGTATATATATGCACTTTTTTATGTCTCTGCTGCTTGAAAACTAATTTCCACTCATCTGTGGGGCAACACTAACAAAGACACATCCATCTGTTCCTCGACAGGATTTGCTATCCTGTAACTGTTGACATGTAAAGGGTATTTTATATTTTGATTGGACGTTAATTGTGCTTTCTTTGGATTAAGTATTTTAAACTGAAGTATAAAAAGAGCCTTAAATATATAGGTCATAGCAATTATTGTATTATTTGCATTACTAAACAAGTCCACAGCAGATGGCCTTCAGGGCCCTGGCCAGAAGAACCTATCTCCTGCAGATTTATTTGGTGCTTGGAGATACTACCAACTAAACTTCTCAAAGCTGCTTGAATGCCATTGTGCCTCTCATTTGATGCCAGCAAAAATATTCCAGGCTTGTTTGTTTCAACACCAATACTCCTCAAGGCCTGGTCCCTGGCTATATAAAACGTTCCTAGTTGGCCCTTGTCAGAGGCCCTGACCCTGCAGTTAAATGAAACAGCACCAGGGACCCTTAACCAGCCAAGTGGCCACGGCCAGGCCACATCTACACTTGTTAGTACTTGGTCCTGATTTTCTTTTGGACACGGGTGGTACCATTGTGGCCATTAGACAAAATTGTTATATTGTGTAGAGTTTTTTTTTCATTTATAAGTGCCTGAAAAATGTAAAGACTATTGCAAAATCCATTGTGATTTCTCCATTTAACAAAACCTAGATTGCATGCAGTGTGAGAGTATGTGATGGGTGAGAGTGCAAGGGCTGCTAGGAGAGCTCTGAAGGACACTCGCTGGTCCTGTTTTATGCAGCAGTAAAAACATAACCAGGGAAGTAATGCAAAATACTCATGAAAATCTGACCTTATAAAGCACTACCCCAAGCTGTCCTAACACAAATTCACCTTTTCCTATCCCTGAATTAAAATAGCACTTAAGTGTACTTACTCTATTCCACCCTGATACAGCAAAACTTTTATACGTGTGAGTCACCTTAAGCTCACTGTTTTCTAGGGTGCTGTTTGTTCAAGCAAAGACTGTGCATGTCCAGAAACTCTGGGACCAGTGCTCTATATTAGACCATTCCCATGCTCAAAGTTTTGTGCTTGTTGTACTATGACTTGATATACTTAAAAAAAGAATCGGATGAGAGTAATACTATATATATGATACCTAATATATACAGTGTCTAATCAACTTCAATTTCCAAAAGACTGCAGTTGGCTTTTTTAGTCTTATAACAGAGGAATACATACTAAAATACTATTGCTGCCATTTATGTCAGGAACATATTCAAAGGCATATCACAATGTCCACATGTACTCACACAAAAGGGCACATTGAGACAACACTATGTCAAGGTAATTTTTTTCCACAGAGATGTGGAACAATGACCTTTTCCTACTTAAGTTTCCTTTTGCCCACAGACCAGGGTAAAGTGCCTCTTCTACAAAGTGAAAAAGAATATTTTTTGACTTCACTATGGGAACTTATCAACTTCATATAAAAATAAATACACACAGTCATTATTTTAATTTCACACATGAGCTTATCTGCTGCTGATAATCAAATGTCATAAAGAGTTTAATAAAATGTTGTAGTCTGATCAACAGTGGCTCAAGCATCTAGAGGATTCTTCGATATATTAAATGCGCATTAGACAAACTGAGTTCTGGAATAACAAATGACCCAATGGATTTGATGCGAATGTTGTTGCAAATAGGAACATGGAAACTGTATTAGATCAGGCCAACAGTCCATTCTGTCCAGCAGTTGTGCTAATGAAAAGGAGAGCACTTTAGGCTACTTCCCTGGTACAACTTCCAGAAGAATGACAGCTATCAGGGCTTCCTTTACCTTAAGAATACTAAGCAGTATTCTCAGGTTTAATAATCCCTGATGTATTTCCTTCTCATAAATCTGCCTTATCTTTTTGCAAATTTCGGTGAAATTTTAGGAATCTGTGACGTTTCCAATTAAGTTTAAGACTACAATAAAGTACTTTTTGTTTTCAAACTGCTGCCTATGAGTTTAATTTTTCTACCACAGGTTTTGCATTAGAAATTGCAATGAGGAATCACTATACATTCAACTTGGTTTCACAAACTACTGTCATTATTTCCCCAAGCTCTTTCTCTCATCAGCTTGTCTTCCATCTTCCATTTTATTTAGTGCTCACTATGTGGAAGAATTTCACATCTGTGAAAAACTTTGGTATACTTTCTAGATCTTCTGTAGTTTTACTGTACCTTTCTGAGAGGTGAGAATTGCTAAACCTGCAGACTGCAAAAAAGCAGTGAGCACATCACCATCACACAGAGTGAGAATCATGGTGTTCATTTCCAAATAGCTACTGTCTTACTTGATTTTGACTACACAAGGCACCAACATTTCATAGAGCATCTGTTCTGACTCCAAGGCCTCACAAGTGTGTCCAGCGAAGGGCAACAAGGCTCATGGAAGGTCTGCAAACCTGTTTCATGAGGAATGGCTGAAGGAGCTGGGTTTGTTTAGTCCCAAGGAGGTTTAGGGGGACATTATCACTCTCTACAACTACCTGGCAGGTTTGTAATGAGGTGGGAGTGGTCTCTCACTGTGTTCAGTGAGAGAACAATAGGAAATGGCCTTTATCTTAGACAGGGGAGATTCAGATCAGATATTAGGGAAAAAAAAAGTTCACTGGTAGTGTGGTCAGGCATTGGAACAGGTTGCCTAGGAAGGTGGTGGAGTCACCATCCCTGGAGGTGTTTAAGAGGTATCTGTAGTTTAGTGGTTCAGGGGTTCCAGTGGCATTGCTGGGCTGACAGCTGGACTGTAGGATCTTGGAGGTCTCCCCCAACCTTGATGATTCCACGATTCTGTTATTCTATCCTTCAAACACGCTGAGGGATGAACATGAATGGATGATGCCATTTCTTAGGAAGTCTGGCTCATTTTGCTCTTCCAAAAGTATCTTGTTTGTTTGTTTGTTTTTGTTTGTTTGTTTGTTTCCTCCTTAGCCAGAATCCCCAAAGAAACTGAGAGGTTTGGGCAAGCGTGAATGACAGGCTGAAGGACCCCTCCCCTCCACCCCAAGACGAGCGTCTCGGGGGATCGTCGCTCGTGGTCCCGCCGCTCCCAAGCGGGTGACGGGTGACGGGTGACCGGCGACAGGGTAACGCCAGGCTCGGGCAGGGAAAAGCTCTCCCTTCCCTCATGGGGGTCGCACCCACCGCCCTCAGGGAGCAGCGGGAGGCGGGTCGGGCCCGCCCTCGGCTCTCCCGCGCGGCCCCGGCGGAAGGAGCGGCCCGGCCGCCCCCGCCCCTCCTCGCCGGCTGCTTCCGCCCGGCCTCGGCTGAGACAGCGCCGGCCGCCGCCGTGCCGGGAGCTGCGGACGGGGAAGGTACGTGTCACAGGGCCCTGCCCTGCCGTCCCCTGCCCCTGTGCCGCCTCCCAGGGCCTCCCCGAGCCGGCGGCCGCTCACCCACCCCCCCCGCCGCTGCGCGGGGCTGAGCCGGAGCCTCGCCCGGCAGGGAGGTGTCCCCATCCCCATCCCTTCTGTGTCGGGTGTCAGGTCTGTAGAGCCCTGTTCCGCCTGGTAACGCCAGTGATCTCCTGGCGTGCGGTTGAGGATGGAGTAGCACACCCCGTGCAGTAAGCAACGCTTCTTACGTGCTCCCTTGGCTTGTTTTGTCATGGGTTGGGAGGAGACTTCAGGAAACGAGTCCTTAAGCGGTGTCTGCTTTTCCAGAAAATAACTGAGGTGATGCTGCTGTAGGGTTTTTTTTCTGAGTGTCAGCACGTGTTTCTGTGAAGCATCTCTCGGAGCCTGACTGGTGCTTGTTATCTAAGTGGCACGTTACAAAACAAGAAATGAAGGAAAAGTCTGTGACCTGAAGGGCCTGTAAGTAGGAAAAGAGGAAAATAAGGTTATAAATTTTGAGGAGTTAGAAGTGAGATGAGATTTTTTAGGTGGAAAGAAGTGTCTTTCAGTAGAGGAGCTGTTGGTTTGGAAAAGCAGCGAGGCTGGCAGGCGCACACACCCTTCAGGAACCCACTGTCTGTCAGAGTGACTCTCAGGACTGGTCCCAGAGCATCACCAGCGTTAGCACCTGCCTTCAAGCCTGTGTTTATTACACAACAGAAGAAACGCCTGTGCCAGACAGGAGGTGAGCAGCAGGTTCAGGGAAGCAGTGTAAATGCTGGTATGGAAATGTGTTGTTAAAGAAACAAAGCTAATGATCAAGCGCTGTTGAGGTGTGACAGTTGTTGGGGAGCTTTCTTACTGGTAGGTTTTTTGTTGTGTTGCAGAAATGATGAGACAGCTTCTTTTACTGCAACTGAAGCATAATCATAAAGCCTTATCATGAGAAGATTTCAATGGCTTGGATGATGCAGATGCTTATTTTTTCAGGTGTTGTATGCTCCTGGCCCTCTGGGACTTTGTGATGTCGAGTTAAATGCGAGAGTCCATCTGCATGGGCCTGTGACAGAAACTAGATATGAACCTGTATTCTTTGTGTCTCAGAGACTAGAAGCATTCAATTATTAATTGGTATTATTGCAGTTACCTATTTTCTTGTGGCACTTGCATGTATGATGTCCATGAGGGAAATGGTCGCACTTTTACAGAGCTGGGTAAGCAACAGCACTGAGAATATTTTCCATCATGGAATTACTACAAGGATTGTCTAAAATCAGTCGAAGTCAGGCATTTTTTTCAAGAGTCTTTGACAGTATCCTAAGCAGATGCCTGTGAAAAAGGCAAGCATACTTTACCTAGTTCACTCTGTAAGTATCCACTCAGCTTTCAACAAACTGCAGCCCAGGAGCTTTCTGGAACAGGTGTATTGAGGTCTTAAAGATCCACAGTGGATCTATCCATCATCCTTGTCTTTGACCCATGTGGAACTCTAGTTTTCCCATCATCCAGCCTCAAGTAGTTCTGTGGGTCAAATATCCATTAACTCAGGAGGCACTTCTGTTCGTTTTCAGTATGCTTTCTGCTACTTCTATTTAGTATTTCCTACTTTTTAGATTAGAGTAGATACTGATCAGTCATTACCTATTTATCTGTGTCATTTGATTCACCAAGGCAATTACAATAAATTGTGTATGGGTAATGGTAAAACAAAATTACCAATATGACTGCCAAGACAAAGAATTTACCAGTAAATTTGACAAGATTTACTCTAAAGCTTCCTAATTGCACTCTTCTCACTATTTCGTTGTTTGTGGGTTTTTTGTTTGTTTGTTTGTTTGTTTTTTATTGATAGCTTTGATTTTGTTAAAATTACATTTTTTTCTATTATTCTGATTTATTATGATTAAGGCACCTTTTCTGGAAAAAGGGATGATCCTCACTTTGGATAATGTCTAGGTTATTTTTACCAAATATTAGAAGCAGAATTTCAGGGTTTCAGCTTGCATGCATTTGTACAGAAAACATGTTTACAGGATGTGGAAGACAGATAGTTTTCACTTATTTAAATCAGGCACGCTCCTAATAGCAATATAAATATGTTTTTTTCTGCTCTTGACGAACTACTGTGTAACACCGTGCATTTTCAGTGAAATGTTTGACAAAATTGGATTCCTGCTTACACTTTGAATAATGGCATTTAGATGTCCAGTAAGGTTTGTGAACAGGTTATACTAGAAGAAGTAAATTATTCTGATGAAAGAATATTCACAGTAGGAAAAAAAAGGTGTAATATGAAAGGTCTGAGCTTAATGAAGAATTAAGCTCGAAACAAATCTGACTTTTCACATGAATACCAGCCTGAGTACCTAGTCAGTAGTGAAATGAATGAGAGAACTGTTTGTTTATCTAGCTGGGATTGCACAACCACCCACACAGCTCTGCACTGTGTGGTAAGTGCCCTGTTGCCATATGTTAGGTAATCCTGATGTGCCAGAACAACTCTAATCAGAAATGATTTAACTTCAAGTTTGTCAGGGTTTCTTTCATCAGTATTCTTCTTTCTTTCCTCAGTGTCCTTGCTTCCTCATTCTGTTATCAGTAACCATGGTGTTCATTTGGTTCTTTCCTTTTTCCATCTCATCTCCTGCTTCTGTTTAGATCCCATTCCCACTGTCTTTTGTTTTGACCAATTCTTTACTCAAATATTATTTTGTTTTAAAGGAATACTTTAGTGATACAAACTTTCTGTGGAAGTCTGACTCCTCAAATTTTACCTCCCAAAATAACTGGATTCTTATTTGCACCTGTGATGAGCAGAGGCTTTGTTCATGTATGTATTCATATGTAGTCCGGGCAGATGGAGCTTGTTAGCCTGTAAGGCAATCCATCTACGTCCTGAGGACCTCGCTGCCACCGTCCAAGCGTGCTTGGCCCCGGCAGATGAACCTCAGGATTAAAGGGTGGGCTCAGTTCTGCGCACACTGTGTCTCACCTAAAAAAATCCAATGCGCAGGCTGGAAGGTGTAAAGACCTTCCCCGGTTCTTCGTTCGTGAAGAGACTGGCCACCACCATTCATATGTAGTCATGTGTTGTCAGGCTTTATCTTGATGGGAGGAGCTGGGCCCTTGTGCAAAATGCTGGAATAGAGTTATTATCAGGGTTACTGGTGTTGTGAGGAGCACATTGGAGTGTTCCCAGAATGGCTTGGATCCTCTTCTGACCAGAACTGTAGGTCTGTATGTCAGAGCACTGGCATGTGCAGACCTTCCTGCAGCACTGGTTCTGAAACAAACCTTTTGGCTACACACCAGCCTGACTGTGTCCAGCCTGACTGTTCAACTCCCTGTCCTGTCCCCCTGATCAGCAGGAGGAGGAACATCCCCAGTGCTTCTTACTGGGAACGACTTAGACTCCAGGCCTCATCTTAGTAGTACAGACTGTCACGTTGCTGTAGTGACTCAGAAAGGGATCTGATGCTACCTGTTTTTATTCATGTCTCCTGTTATTGGTTCTCCTGTTGGATTTCCTTTGTCCTTTCCACAGAGCTGCATACAGTTTGTTTCCATGTCTCTGCTCACAGTGCCTTCCTGACATGTTTAGGTGGGTAAATTAATATCAGAATGTACAGCTGCTGCAGTAAACATAAGGAGGAGGTGGTGACACAGGTTGAGAGGTTACTGGAGAATGCTGTAGTGACTAGTTAGTTGGTCTACTGTGAGTAGATGGGATTTTGACTAATTCTTTTATGTCCTGGTTTGAAAGCAGGAAAATGGGCAACAGCTGGAGAGCTAAGTTGAAGGTGGGATAAACAGTTGACGTAAGAGCACATGAAAATATAAAATTATTGAAATAATAAGATGAGAAGAAAAAATGTTTTTAATTCGAAGCATGTTTTAGCTTAAAGGAGAATAACTAACATGGAAAAACGGAAGAAACAAAAAAATAAGAGTTAGTTCTATAGAGAGATTCATACTGAACAGTACAGGAGAGGATGGGGGAAGTCAAATCAAGGGCAACATGATGCTAATTATATGGATGTATATTTTTTGATTTATTTTTTTTATTTGATTCTTGCCTCTTATTAGTATTCATTATGCTCTTTGAACTTTGCATTACTTAGCAAGAAAAAAGAGTGCTCTCCATGGAGCAGTGAATCTTATTTTGATAGGAGGTGGAAAAAGAGTTATTGAATATAAAATGAAATAGCAATTGCTTTTTACTGCTTTTGCCTGTTATTGCTGCTGCTGAAAGATGGAAGTTTCTTCAAGTTTCTTCAACTTCTGGGTGCTGTGGTTTAAGTGAATGTGTAAGTTGCCATTACCTGAAATTATTGCATTTTTGTTTTTCATTGAATGTTGTCCAGATTACCTGTATGACTTAAACATCCATCCAACAGAAATGTGGGCTTGTAGTTTTTTGAAGCAGGAGAAAAAATGAAAGTATAGAACATATGGTTGCAAAGACAAATAATTTTTTGCCTTTTTTTTCCTTTTGAAAAGTTGCAAAATTCTCATTTTCCCTGGAGGCAGTAGGAACCAAATGGCAAAGAAGCATCATCTTTGTTTAGTGAGCAAGCGTTTTATCCAAACCCTTAGACCACAACAAACCTATTTGCATGTGTATGTTCCCCTCTCTCAATTCTATTTTCATTTTCTTCTTGTATGTGTGTCCTTGATTGCCTGTTCCTTCACTTTTTTTGCAGTATATTTTGATATTTCTCCATCTCCCTTGAAGCAAAAAGGCCATGTCTTCTCTCCCATAGTTCACATAACTTTTGAATGCGCTCTGTTTTGGGTGTTGATATGTGCTGAAGTTTGAAGGCCACTAATATTACTTTTCTCTATATCGAAACTTAAGCATGATGGATTCTTGTTTGAGAAGTATTACATTCACAGCTCTAACTTCAGCCAGATTTTAACCCAGTCTGTAATCATGGTGTTACATTTCAGTTTTGCCCAGTGGCTCCCAAGGTACTGATGTTCAACATAAATAAACAAATTGCATACTTTGCAAACTTTACTGTATTTGTGACAATTTTGTCTTGCTAACTGAGTTGGATTTCCAAACTGATTTATCTGCCTTTGACTTTCTAATGTAGCAGGCAGCTGGGAAAGTTTATTTACAAGATTCTCTTGACAGGAGTCTGCTGTGCCTTTGAAATTTGTTGGTCAGAAGAGACCTGGCATAGTTTTTTCCCCCTGGAAACTTTTCTTAGCATGTAGACATTGTACTTCAGCAGCAGCTTTTTATGTTCTTTCACATAGATAGTCTATCTTTATTTGACCAAGGTTTTGCTAGCATTGCAGTTTAATCTCAGAACATAAAGTATATTTATTATACTCACATGTTATTCATGCTCACAACCTTCTGTTTATCCCTCTGTGAAGTTTCAGTTTTAAAATCCCCACGTTTTTTCTCTGGGTCCAATACTTTAAAGCAGTATTTGGAGGGAAAGCTGTCTGAAAGTTACTTAATTTCTCCAGTAGACCTCAATAGTATGTGCAAATGAACAAGTTTTTTTTTTCCTTTGGGACTAAAAAGTTTCCCAAAATCCCACTTTCTGTTCTGAAAAATACCTCATATTACACCAAATTAAACCATCCTATTTGCTTTCACACAAGTGAAACTGTCATTACTTCCTTGATTTCATTTTTTTCTTTAAGCAACAACTTTCATGCTCATTTGTTTTTTAGGTCATGGACATTCTTAGCTTTATCATCAGGCCTGCATATTGACTGGGAAAT